TGATCATGACAGCAGGGAGCGGGAGGACAGCAGGGAGCAGGAGGACAGCAGGGAGCAGGACAGCAGGGAGCAGGAGGACAGCAGGGAGCGGGAGGACAGCAGGGAGCGGGAGGACAGCAGGGAGCAGGACAGCAGGGAGCGGGAGGACAGCAGGGAGCAGGACAGCAGGGAGCGGGAGGCTCCTCGTCCGCCCGGTTCCCTCCCCAGCTCCAGGCCAGGCTCCTGGAGTCTCCACCTGGTACCTGGATGCCCTGGAGCTTGGTGATGGGCGCCCCAAAGGCCTTGCGATTCTCGGCATAGTTCACAGCACAGTCCAGGGCGGCCTGGGCGATGCCCAGTGCCTGGGAGGCGATGCCAATGCGGCCCATGTCCAGGGTTTGCTGTGGGGACCGCCCCAGTCAGCAGCTGGCCAGCTGGATGCCAGGCCTCCGCCCAAGGCCCCACCCCCTGCCAGGCTCATCCCCCTGCCCGGCTCACCTCTCCACCCGGCTCACCCCCCACCCGGCTCACCATGGCTATCTTGAAGCCCATCCCCAGCTCCCCCAGCAGGTTCTCCTTTGGGATGCGACAGTCCTCAAAGATGAGGTTGGCCGTGGACGAGGCCCGGATGCCCAGCTTGTCTTCCTTCTTCCCCAGCGAGAGGCCGGGCGTTGGCATGGGGACCAGGAAGGCACTGATGCCCTGGAAGAGCAGAAAACCCAGTCGGTGCCGTTCCCAGAGGCTGCCCGGGGCCACGCCCCTCTATCAGCCACCTGTCAGGTCCCTTCCCTCACTTCCCTCAGGACCTCGGGCCGCGACGCCCTCTGCTGGCCCCTCTGGGGAAGGTGCAGACACCAGTCCCCGGCCAGGGCCAGGCAGGGGACGGGGAAGCTCCCAGGGACCCAGAGCACGAAGCTCTGAGCTTCCTCAGGAACTGAAATGACCGCCGAGGCCTCCCTGGTCTCCCGTCCCCACCTTGTGGTGCAGGGACCTGTCGGTGCTGGCAAAGACCACAGTGGCTGAGGCGTCCCAGCAGTTGGTGATCCAGGCTTTGGTGCCATTCAGGACCCAGGAGTCACCCTCTGCCCGGGCGGTGGTGGCTGCAGCTCCCGCATCGCTGCCATTGCCTGCGGGCACACAGACTCGTCCAGGCCACCTCCACCCCCCGCCACCCACAGGCACCGCTGCCAACTGGGCCGGAGCCCAACCCCAACCCCAAG